AAAAAAAGTATGACAGCATGGTAAAAACATACTTGACAACTTGACTCCTTTAAAATGGTTGTTAATTATATAGAAGTTCATACAAAGGTTGACTGTTTCTTGTTAATTATATCTAGTTCCACTACGGGGATATTCAAGCATGCTCGTGTTGCTATAACTGAATTGTCCAACTTTTTTAGAAGACTTTGTGCTCGTACTCTTTTAGTGGCAGATATTCAAGGCCTAAAGAAGGGGATTGTTGTGATTTTATGCAAGTTAGAGAAGATATTCCCTCCTTCCTTCTTCACAATAATGGTCCATCTTTGTATTCATCTACCAGATCAAGCACTTTTGGACATGTTGCTAGTCGATGGATGTATAGTGCTGAACGATGTTTAGGCACTTACAAGCGTTATGTTAGAAATGCAGCTTTTCCTGAATGTTCAATTGCAGAAGATTATGTTGTTGATGAAGCATTAACTTTTTTATCCTTGTACATAAAAGATTTGGAAACAAAATTCACAAGAGCTGAGAGGAATATTGATGATGTTATATGTAATGAATCGTCAAACTTTGCTTTGTTCATGTTAAGATTACGTTGTTTTGGGACTTCACAATTGAAGTTCCTTAATACTCGGTCTAATACTTTGCAATGGTACATTCTCAACAATTGTCATGAAGATATCAAATCGTATCTAGAGTATGTTTTCCCTTTCCTTATAATGATTGATTATATTATCTAAACCAAGCAACTATAATGTACTTTTTATAATTGTAGTGAGCATATGGACATACTAAAACAAAACTTTAGCAGTGACTTAGAGCAACTACAATCAAGGACTTTTCCTGCATGGTTCAAGATGAAGGTAAAGATGGACCATTCGACAAGAACATGTTACACATTGTTATAATACTATGATTAACTAAAGCATTTTTTATAGATGGAGGAACTACGTCATGAGGGTTCAACCGAGGCAACAGATGATATGTATTCATTGGCTCTTGGCCCATTTGATCGATATACTAGTTGGACAAGTTGTATCGTCAATGGTGTACGCTTCCATTCACAGTGTAGAGATGTTAAACTTCACACTCAAAATTGTGGAATTTCTGTTCCAAGCAACCATGATGGTGAGGAAGTAGATTTCTATGGAGTTTTGTTAGAGGTTATGGAGTTATCATATACACTAGGTAGAAAAGTGGTCGTCTTCCAGTGCAAGTGGTATAACACTGACAAGAGATTGAGAAACATTCACTGTGAGAATGATTTGACAAGTATYAAAATAAGTTCTGAGTGGTATGTTAATGATCCATATATTTTGGCAACACAAGCACAACAAGTATTTTATTTGGCAGATACAAAGAGAGACAAAAATTGGAGGTTTGTGTAGAAAATTTCACCTCGTCACATATGGGAAGTTTCGATTGTTGATGCTATTACTGAATCAAATACATTATCATCAATGTTCGTCGCATCAGAAAATGACATTGATGATGGAATGTTAGTTAGAAGTGATGTCGAACCAACAAATTGTGATGAAGATGAGTTTATGAGCGATGATGATGATGAGGACAATGAGAGCGAAGATGTCGAACCAATGTACGAAAGTGAAGATAAAGAAGCTTCAGAAGAAGACGAAGATGATGGGGTTGATTTGGTTGATTAATTTTAGTTTTTTTTTTTTTTTTGTTAATTGGCCTATACAAATATTGTTCTCTATCTCTATAATGGACTTAAGACTTGGATATAAATMTGGATCGTGAAATATTCTTATCTCTATATGCCTTAAGTAATGTTGCCTCAAGTTTTAATCTATTATACAATGTTATATGCTGCTCTCTTTTACTCTGCTTATGACTCATTCTTTTACCAGTTCACTTGAAATACGGCATTATGGCTACTGCCTCTGCAAAACATCACAGTCAGATGGTGCTTCGTCGTCCTTGAAAATTAGCAAACACTGTCCTACTAGAGGAGAGATCATAAAAAAATTAGAAAGCAAATGGGAGGAGTTAGGTTGACTGTAGACTTTTACGAGGAGTTTAGGCAAGCTGTTGGGACAAACGCCGAGAAGTTCAACAATGAATGTGGCGTAATATGTCGTAAGATGTGTCCCTTCAATTACATGGATTGGAGGAAGGTCCTAAATCTATCAAGACTAGTCTTCGTGAGAGGATTTTGGTAAGATAACCACAAGTTATATTTATAATATTTTGTCATTCTTGTTCTTATCCTTAACAAAATTTTGTGTCATTCTTGTATTTATTTTATAGATAAATTTTGATGTCGACTTGTCTTCAAAGATTGTGGTTGATGTGATTGACTTCCAAATGGGTCGATCTTTCAAAAATCACAGAGTAAAGCTGCAGGAGCATTTTTTAAAATGCCATGGCCAAGAGGACGTGGAAAGAGCCAAAGGAATGAAGCCAACTGACTCGAACGTTACAGATGATGCTTGGCATATACTTTGCGATTACTGGAGTTCGGAGAAGTTTGATGTAAGTTGTTTATTTTCTATATCTTGAAAATGTCTTGGTAAGCATTTATTGTATATCCTACTGTTAATTATGTTTCTTTTTCAATTGGCATTTATACATTTATTGTATATCGTGTCCAAAGGTTGTATTTATTCACCATGCCATGTGGTTTGTTGGTCTATAACATCTTCTTTTAGTGTCTACACATACTGGGGGTGTCTACACAGGTTTTAATTTTTTTATGCAAATAAACATCTTGTTTTGGTGTCTACACATCTTGTATTTTTTATCCTACAGATGTATGTATTGCTATTGGCTTTTGTGCAAATGATTATGACTTTCAGTACCATTGTGAGACTTTCAGGTTTGGTCCACTCTATGTTTCCATCACGCTCATCATTTTTTTTATATCTCTTCTTGAATGGTCTCTTATGTCCTTACTGGTCATATGTGGATTTTGGTATACGTCTAATTTGCTTCTCTATTGATCTGCCATATGGAACCTGTCTAAAAGTTTGAATGGATTTGGTACTCAAAGATCTTGTGGTTACTGATATGGAACCTGTCTTTTACTCAGATTTGGCCTAATTGGTTCTTTTTCTGCCTATTTGTAATGGCCACTGTTCAAGTAAAGAGTAAACAGTTATATAGTTAACTTCTATTTGATTTCTTTTTTGCATATAACAATTATAAATCATATTTTGTTTCCGTAGGCTTTGTCAAGAAAAAATTCTGAGAATAGGGGGAAGCGAAAGTATGTTGCTTTAAACGGTACAGTGAGCACTCCGAATCACCATTTTCGAAATAGAGGATTGTTGAACAATCCTCTTATCGGTGAGATAGAGATTTTCCGAAAGTTACATTATAGAGAAAAAGATGGTTGGGTTAATGACCATTCTCGCACTTCATATGTAAGTTACGTTTAACGAACTCTTTTGCATGTCTTCATCGTTTTATAAATTACTAATATTTATATATATGATTTTTATGTTCATAGGAGAACATGGTAGAGATTAAGCGGCAAAGTGAATCAACAGAAAATCCCCTGGGTGATCTAGAGATTATGCAACAAGTCTTAGGTAAAAGACCTGCATATATTCGGGGATGGTCTAGGGTCCCGAGCACTAGGAGCGATTCTACAAATTCGTTACATAGCACCGGTGCGTCAGGTCGATTGAGCCACAGCGAGATGTCTAATAGACTTGCTTCAACCGAGTCCGAGCTTGCTTCTACCAAATCCGAGCTCTTTCTCATGAAGGATGAAGTTGCAGAGCGCGACAAATGGTTAGGTCAATTATATCCGGCTGGTCAGTTCCAAGTTCATCTTCATTAACTGTTCAAGACTAACGTTCGGAGACTCAAGATCGTTAAACACGCTATGATGATTTTGGATGTTTTTTGTTCATAAATTTAGACGATATATAAGCTAGTTGAATATTAAATTTGGATGGTTCTTATAATAAGAAATTATATAACAAATCTATAAAAAATTGTTTTGAGGTTTATTATTAATTTGCTCCAATTAATTTAATGTTATTTATTAGTTTAATTTTATTATTGTTATTATTATTATTATTATTATTATAATTATTATATTATAATATAATTTTTAGAGAAGGAATTAACTTTTTAAAAGTGTAACTAAAGATATTTTTTAGAGAAGATTTTGAGTTTTGTGTATCTAAATATCATAATTAGAAAAGATTTCGTAACCTTAACTAATTAGAACTTTTAGAGAAGTTTTCTTAAAAGTGTCACTAA